ACTGGACGCAGTACTCCAGCTGCGGCCTGACCAGTGCCGCGTAGAGGGGGAGGATCACCTCCTTGGACCTGCTTGAGATGCATCTGTGGATGCATGACATGGTATGGTTGGTCTTCCTGACCGTGTCCCCACTCTGCCGGCCCATGTTCATTTTGGCATCGACAATGATTCCAAGATCCTTTTCCTTGGAATTATTATTGAGGTCTGGGCAGAATTGTCATCTGATTAATCCTCAGAGGATTTATCCAGTGTGGTTTTGAAGGAAGCTACTAGTGGGGCTCCCACTTGCCTTGGGAAACCATTCCCCAACCTAGTGAGATTCATTAAGATGCCACGGCCCTCACCAAGAAAAGATGTTCCCTCTCTTACCTTCATCTAACTTCTGTGTCTCACCCCAGTAATCTCCCCTACCACCTCTCCCCTTTCCTGGTGTTCACAGCCTGTGCACCCTTGGCCTCTCTTACTCATTTTTCAGGGCCCACCTGCTCTACAAAAATCACTCTGTGACATCCAAAACTTTTGGCCTGAGCACAGATTCCTGTTAACAACATAGCTGGGTCCCATCCAGACTGTGTTCAAGCGGTAGACTGAATTTTGGTTGAACTGTATGCTGGCCCTTAGCCACCATCTGGATATTTTAAAGCTTTCCCTAAAAATCAATTCTTCCAGCTACTGATCATTTCCACTCCTCTTTCCCAAACTCCTTCTAGTTTGTCAACTTCAAGCAAGGAAGGAAGTGCCTTGAACAGAAGGCAGTGCTCTAGGCCTGGCTGAAAGCCAAAGGAGCACTCCTCTTTCTGCTCAGAGACACAATACCTCTGCGGTCCCAAAGCAGCAATGGCTTCTAAGTTTTTGCAGCCAGAAAACACTGATCTAACTGCTGCTTGTCCTTGTTTCTGTGAAGTGTTCATAACTGTGGCCCTCAAGTTACATTTTAACTCAGACTATGGACTCCCAGCAGATATGTTTTCCTTCCTTTATCTGTTGAGCAACATTCATGGCACAACATAAGTAAAACTGATTCAGAAGCCATGCTAGAACCTAGAAGTGTCTGGATGTCCAGGGGCAATTCCTTATCTCCCCGAGTGCAGAAGAGACAGAGTGAGAAAGAACTGTGATAGGATCCAGTTCAACTCATATAATGTCAGCTAACCAGCATGCCAATCCTACAGCCCCATAAACTGGCACAAGTAGCAAGGGGAAGTTCCCACTTTTATACAGTAAAGCACAGGGTTTATGGTCACAAGCCAACAGGTCAATAGGGGGGAACAGGTAAAAGGTAAAGAAATATCGATATTGTGGTAACATATACTCAACACCTTAATTTCTCTCCTGTATTTCTGGAGGTGTCCCCAACCAAGCCTTTAGTCCCTAGATCACTTAAACAGCAGCCTGCAAATACCCCCAAGTCTGAGACCAGCTTTTTCAGTCCACAGTCCTGGCTGACCAAACCAGTGAGCTCTCCAGCTCCTCTGTGTAGGGCTGACCAGGTTCCACATACACACTGCTCTCTCTTCCCCTTACTCCAGCCTCAAGCTTCCTCTTCCTTTTTCCCTTGCCCCCCAGAGGGCTGGGGGTTTCTGGGAGTTGCAGACATCAGAGCTCTGCAAACTACCCCCTGGTTCCACCTGCTGTTACACACATTATGTTCACATTACACAAGAAACCTCTTCACACTCAGATTCCCCAAGGATAACCCATCATCAGTGCTTCTGCAAAGAAGTATTATTGATAATAAGCAGCAGGTGTTTGGGCAGGGGGTGGGATTAAAGTGTACATTGCAGCAAACCAATAAACTAATTCTGCTGCAGAATTTATGAGCTGCTGTAGTAAAGTTTGGTGTTTCTGTGAAAGGCCTAGGGACCTTGTTACAGTGCAAATCATTAGTCATAGGTTTGGGAAGGACTTCAGACATCATCTAGTCCAATGGTACTCAACCTTCTAGCCCCACGGACTGAATGAGTGGTACTGAGGCAGTCTACAGGCCGGATCCCATGAGCAGGGTCAGTCTGCGGGCCAGATTCAGCATGGGGTCAGTATGTGGGGCTGGTCTACAGATATAATCTTGCACACCAGATCTGGTTCTATGTGGTAGCAATTAATGCTGCCATGGCTCCCTGATGCCAAATATCCAGACCTGTGGGGAGCCCCACTGGCCAGAGGTTGAGCACCACTGATCTAGTCCAACCCACTGCAAAGATCCAAAACTGCTCTTTCTGGACCATTCCAGACAGCTGCCTGCCCAGCCTCCTCTTGAAAACCTTCAATGAAAGATTTTGCAACTCCCCTCAGCAGCTTGTTCCCCTGCTTACTGCTCTTATAGTTAAGCAGTGCTTCCTGAGATGTGATGCAGATTTGCTTTGCTGAAGTTCACACTCATTGCTACGTGTCCTGCCTTGGGTGGCAAGGGAGAACAACTTTGTTTAGCAGCCATTCATATGCATACGGACTGGAACCCAGGTCTGCTCCGAAGTAAGGGCTCTAACCACTGATCCATAGAATCACAGAAAATAAGGGTTGAAAGGGACCTCAGGAGGTCACTTTGTCCAACCACCTGCTCAAAGCAGGACCAGCCCCCACTAGATCATCCCAGCCAAGGCTATGTCGAGTTGAGTCTTAAAAACCTCCAAGGACAAATATTGTACCATCTCTCTAGGTAACTGTTCCAGTGCTTCACCACCCTCCGAGTAAGAAAGCTTTTCCTAATTGTGTATCCAACCTAAACCTCCCTTGCTGCAACCTGAAACTATTGCTCCTTGTTCTGTCATCTGTCACCACTGAAAACAGTCTAGCTCCATCCTCTTTTGAACCCCACTTCAGGTAGTTGAAGGCTGCTATTAAATCCCCTCCGTCTTCTCTTCTGCAGACTAAATAAGCCCAGCTCCTTCACCCTCTCCTCATAAGTCATGTGGCCCAGCCCCCTAACCATTTTTGTTGCCCTCCGCTGGACTTTCTCCAGCTTGCCCACATCCTTTCAATAGTGGTGGACCTAAAACTAGACACAGCATTCCAGATGTGGCCTCACCAGTGAAGAGTAGAGGGGAATAACTACTTCCCTTGATCTGCTGGCAGCACTCCTACTAATGCAGTCCCTGTATGCCATTAGCCATCTTGGCAACAACAGCACACTGCTGACTCATATCCATCTTACTGTTCACTGTAACCCCCAAGTCTTTATCTGCAAAGCTGCTGCTTAGCCAGATGGCCCCAAGCAACTGTGGAGCCAGGTTCATTCACATTTGAGTCTTCAGGCACATTCCAAGGATAAAAACTAAATGTGACTTATAAAGGACCTCTGGCTCCTCTCACAGCAGAAACAACCAGGCAAACACATGGTTTTAGGCTAGATATCAGGAGGCGCTACTTCACGGTCAGGGCGGCTAGGATCTGGAACCAACTTCCAAGAGAAATGGTGCTGGCTCCTACCCTGGGGTCTTTAAGAGGAGGCTAGATGTACAACTTGCTGGGGTCATTTGACCCCAGTACTCTTTCCTGCCATGGCAGGGGGTCGGACTCAATGATCTGCTCAGGTTCCTTCCGACCCTAGAAACTATGAAACATGCTTTTTTGGCTTAATGCATGCTCTGCATTGGCCTCTATGTCTGTGAGGCACCCTACAGTTTGACAAGCACTGAGTTCCAAACTCACCCTTGCCTTATTGACCCAGTACAACATTTTGTCACCAGAAATATTGCTGGAGGCAGCTCCCATGATCGCTAGAGATTGTGGTTCAAATCCATTCCCTCCTTGCCTGCTCCTGCACCTCCATCCCACATAGCCGTGGTGCTACATCACTTAGTTACAGGAAAACCCTCAGCTGACTATGTCACCATTAATAAGTACAGCTCCCAGTAAGCAGCCATTTCCTGTACTTATCACAGGGCTCAGTCTGGTTCCTCAGGAGGGGTCACCAGTGAGATAAGTATGCAAGGATCCATGTCAAAAGCAGATTCCTGAGCCTATAGGCAGGGCTCTGTGAATGTCATGGTGCTTCATAACTTACTACATAACCACTTCTTTTTAATTCACTCCAAATATTTGTTCCAGGACCTGAACTTACTTTTAAACAGGAAACAAAGTAAGGTCCCTTAGCTCTGCAATCTATGATTGAGTGCAACTCATGTAGTGTTGTCTACAGCAGGGTGGGCAAAATGGTGGATCTGGCTGGCAGCTGAACTCCATTTCCCAGCAGCCCCTGACAACATGGCTGGGGCCATTTTCCATGGAAACCCCAGCAGCCACCACACTGCCATTGCACAAGGCTCGAGTTTCCATGGAAACCAGCCCCAGCAGCAGTGGCAGGGTGTTTGGCAAGGCATGAGCTGCTCCAGAGCCAGGCTGGGATTTTGGGCAGTGAGTGTGGTCCACAGCCAGGTCAGAGCCGTGATCCGCTGCCTGCATGTCCCTTCCCAGGGCATACAGGCTGCAGATCATGACACTGCCCTGGCTCTGAACTACACCATCACTGCTGTAAGGAGCTCTGCTGCAAACCCTGCCAGCAGAGGCAGTGCTAGGCAGGGTGCTGGGAGTGCTATAGCCACCTCAAAATTCCCCACAGCCCCCCTCCCAGCAGCACCACTGCAGCCACTACCCACCTTACACAGGTGGCAGCAGCTGAGCCCACCCCACTCCCACTCCCACCCGCAGCATGGCACCCCCCCTCTACCTGCCAGCGCTGCTGGGGCCAGTCTCCACAGAAACCCTGGCCCTATGCTATCACAGCATGGCTGGTGCGGGGGTCTCCATGAAAGATCAGCCCCAGCCAAACAAACAAGCAGGGGCTCCTGGGAAATGGAGTCCACTGCTGGCCAGATCCAACTCGTGGCCAGACTTTGCCCACCCATAGTGGCCTATGAGATAGTGAAGTACAATTGGGAAAGGAGTTCTCAGGGTTTGGTGAGATGAGTTATGAGGAATTCACCTCTCCACCCACCACTTCAACTACTACCCCAAACACTGCCAAAAAGGGGAAGGGGGAAATGCAGCCCCTATCCAGTATTGTACCCTCTCTGCAAAGCACAAAATCAGTTTCTGAGCCTTTCCAGAGGTCACACACCCAAACAATCCTTTCTCTGCTGTCAGGACCTGCATCTGATTAAAGTCACGGGTAATTTAAGGTCCAAATAAACAAGGGAGAGAATCCTATGTGTACTGAACTGTGGAGAGGGAAGGGTGGGGTAGAGGACCCCTGCCACAACACAGCACACCTACCAGGAGAGAAGCCAGGCTTTGTAAAAAGAGGGGGATGGGGTCAGCAGCAGAGGCCTGATACAAGAACAGCAGCACCTTTGGCCAACCTAAGGGCAGGATACAGCAGTGACAGTTCTCTACAGAGCTCTACCTGCCTCTCACAAGTCACCAGGCAGAGAGCCTGAATCACCCGCCTCTGGGAAAAACATGAAGCAGAAACACACCCCCACACACACAGCTCCAATCAGCCTCCTACCCAGGGCAGCCACACCCAGACATGTCAGGAAAGAGTGAGGGGCAGACCAAGAGGTGCCAAGCAAGGTGGGAAGAAGCTGCAGGCAGCCTACGGGTTATCGATGTCCTCGTGCAGCACATTTAGAGTATAATACACCTGTCCCTCAAAATATTGGCAGTGAAGGTCCTCAGTGAGAGTCTTCCTCCAGCTCACATACATCAGGTTACTGATAAACTGGTCAAAGCTTTTCAGCTGAAGGGGGAGAGGCAAGATAGAGAAAGAACATGAGGAACAGTCAAGACAATCACTTCACACCAAAAACTGGAACGATTCAGTGACAAAAAGGCAATAGGCCCATCCCACAACTCACTGTCTACATAGGGCAGGAGGAGCCTCAGATCCTTCAGCAGTGGGGCCAGCTGAACACAGCCCTATGGTTCATCCCAAGCATCAAGATGCTTCCTGTGATGCTGGTCAGGGAGTGTCCTAGAGGCAGGGTGCTTCTGGGAATGCCTCATATCTAGCTTTTGAGCCAGCAGCAAAGGCCTTGCCTCCTACAGCACATCACATTATCACATCATGGCACCTCCTCCCTCCCTGCGTGGACTTGATCCCAAAGGCAGGAGGCAGCACCATATCTTATCAAAGGTCCCAAGTTCCTGGGGGGGGTGGGGACTGGTCTGAGAGTGTGCATTACAGCATAGGGAGGCTTATTTCTCATGGGGTCACACTCTGCTCCTCCCCACCCTTCCAGAGAGAGTATTCCTCCCTTACTGTAGGACCCCTCTTTGCTCTCCCTACCTCACAAGTGCTTGAGGAGTGGCCCCCCTTACCGTGGAGTTGACTACAATGAGAAGCAGAGCAATCACAGTCAGAGTTTTGAATCCATACAAGTCCTTGTTTCCCAGGACGCCATAGTACTGGCTGGGGATCAGTCCCACTTGGTAAATGACCAACTGTTCTGGGAGGTAACAAGCAAACATAAGGGAACAGTGAAGGTCTGAGAAAGCAGTAGAGCCTTGAAGCTTGCACCAAGGCTTAGACACCCTCCAGTCCCAACTGTTCAGTCACTTACCCAACAAGGTAATACACAACAGGGTCAGAAACATCAGCACATTCTGGGAAGACCATTTTGGAAACAAGATGGCCTGAATCCTCAAAAAACGTTGCAAGAACTTCAGATCCAGCTGGGGCCGGGACTGAGGTCTAGTACAAGACACAAACAAAGCAGAGAACTGAAGCAAACAAGCAGGGTTCCTAGAACGTGCTTTTCTGACCCTGTCTGAATGGAAAGGTATCCATTGCTGCTTCTCTGGAACCAGACCCTATCAACCCTTTCTTTCTCCACTTCAAGAGAGACACCTCAAGTCTCTAGGGACAGTTGAAGGAGAAGATATGGACCAGTTTTGATGTACCAGGTATGTACTGACCCTAAAAATGAAGGCATGTATATACTCTCAAGTGCATCCATAAGAACTCATCTGCTGGGGACACCACACCAGAACCTTTGTGCTGGAAGATGCCAAGAAGCTGCTGCTGCTAGATGGTGTGTTATGGTACTACATATAATTTAATTTTTTTTTTTTAATTCTTTTTTACTTTTCCTGAGTCTTCTCTGGCCTGGACTAGGCTGGCCTTCAGCATACTCTAGGAACCAGGCAAGTGCTTTGGGTCTAGCCCCCAACATCTGAGAGGGCAGGGCAGGCTCTTCACACAGGCCTTGTCCACATTCACCTGCCTCTACCATCAAATGTTCTAGCAGCAGATATCACCTACCACCACCACACACATCCATGTGGCTCTGGCAGCTGCACACAGTAGAGTGCACCTTGGGGAGGCATTATCACCTGATGAAACTGTGATAGCCAAGGGGTGTGGGAGTGTCCATGCATGGCTTCTACCAGCTGGTGGAGAACAGCATTCAGCAAAGGCGATTTAATTTTGCCAGCAGAGGTTCTGCCCCCACAGAGGCGCTCCAAGCATAGGCACATACAAATTTTTGCCAGAACTGGATTTCTGCCAGCAAAACTCTGCAGTGCAGAATGGCCATGAGCATGAATGAGGGCAGCTCCCCTGGTAGTCTCCATCTCCCCAGACTATTCTGCACTCTGGCAACATGCAAAAAGCTTATCATGTCAATGAAACAGCTGAACTAGACAAGAAAGGTGGGCCCATCTAGGGGAGGCTGAAGCCCATTCATATGCATTCCCAGGGAAAGCTGCCAGCCTGACTGTTGACTTGCATCCGTCAGCCTAAGCAACATGCTAAAGCTTAAAGCCTTCTTCCCTGGTGGGGGGGATCTTCCTTTCCTGTGCATCACTGTCTGGCTGCCACACCTGCAGCCCCCACACCAGGTACAGCTCAGTGTCACACACAGAGGCAACCCGAGTAGGGTGCTGGGTCCTGCCCCGGACGCAAGGAAGCCAGCAGCAGATTCGGGGGGTTGAGTGGCCCAACATGAAGCCGACGGCAGCGCAGTTACCGCAGCCACTCCACCCAACTCTCCAGGACTCTCCAAAGTGTGGGGTCCGGGGCAGTCGCCACGATTCGCCCCCCCAAGGATGGCCCTGGTCCCACTCAAGGCCCTGCCTGGAGCAGAGCCCAGGGCCCCAAGACTGACCTGTACCCTGCTCCTTCCTGGTTTCACATCACCCTGTGCAGCACAGTCACGCCCTTGGGCTCAGTGTCTTGCAGCTACTCTCCCTGTTCAGCTCTGTCCTCAACCCCTACATCCTGCTGCCTGTTCGGCCTCATCTTGCACCCTCTGCTGTGGCCCCCTCTGCCCTCCCAGCCACAGATGCTAGTGTGGCACCCTCACTGTCGCTTCAGCCCTAGGGATGCAGTGCACCATGCAGCTCCCTTCCCCCACCACCGGCCTGCCCCAGACCCACCCCTCTCCCCCCTGCTGAGTGCCTGCAAGGCCCCTAGGCTCCCCCCACCCAAGGCAGGCAAGGCCACACCCTGTCACTCAGCTAGATCCTCGACTGAAGCTCCATGGCCTGCCGGAGCCTAGATAGCCCATGGGGCTAGCAGGGCACATGGCCAGGACCACCACTGGCCCCTCACAGCTCCCCCAGACTGGAGGCCAGGCACACTCACAGCTGAGCTCTCCCGGAACAGCCTCGGATATCAGTGTCCTGTCCGCCCCCACCCAGGCCTTGTTCATCCTAGAGCCAGCCAGTGCCCCCACCCCAGCCTGGCACCTTGCACCCCCGCCAGCCCCAGCTGGGCACCCCCGGGGAACCTGAATCCTTCCACCAGCCCGAACCCCAGCCTGGCACCCAACACCCCCGTGTATCCTGAACCCACCCTCCACCCCAACACCAGCCTAGCACCCTGCACCCCCAGCTAGGCAGCTTGCACCCACCGGCCCCCGCCACACCGCGGCACCGCCCGCCCGTCGGCCATGAGCGTGTCCCGCCGTCCTCAGCCCGCAGCAGCCCCGCCCCTCGATGAATATTCATCACCTCTGCTGACTATTCATAAACTCCAACCCCCCCCGCTCGGGCCAAGAGATCGCCGCGGGGACAGTAGAGTTCGAGTGCTCTGCTAGAGCGGCTCCGACAGAAGAGGCGCATGCGCAGGCCGCATGATGGCAAACCTGTCATGAAAATCCCACTGGGGCGGCTGGAAGGGCTATGCGCCGGGGTTCCGTCCTCCCGTGCAGCTGCAGGGAGAAGAGCGCCCCCTCCCGGAGCCACCACGCGGCTCTGGAGGGACAGCGCCCCCTGGCGCCGCGCCGAGCGCAGCCGACTTTCCTGAGCATCCTGCTCTCAGGAGCTGGCAAGGGCGGTCCGGAGCAGGGAGCGCTGTCCTGTGGGGCGGGAGCCCATGGGAGTGGGGCTTAGGCTGCGCGCTTCTGTACGTGTCTCCTGGTGCAAGTAGGCAGAGCTTAAAAGCAGAGCAAACCGAACCCCAGCAGCAGCCCTGGCGAGATGTGCGTGTTTGCCACGCTGTGCCTCAGCCAGTGGCAGCTGCCTGCCGGGTCCCCGCGCTGCCCTTGGAGCCCTTTGGCTTGAGGTCTGGTGCCTGCCACCCGTGTCTCAGCCCTTTCTGCTTTTCTCCATAGATGAGGTTTGCTCACCTCGTAGGGGAGCCATTCAGGAAGGTCGAGACATGGCTACAACCAACACCCCCAAAACATTTACCAACACAACACCCCCACAGACTCTACCTATGCCTGAAGAAGGGTGTTTGTGCACTTTTTTCCAACTATTTAGTTGGTCTAATAAAAGATACTGTATTTACCCAAAGAACCTTGTCTGAACATCATAAAGGAGTTCTTTCTGATTTATGGCATTGTTAAACCTGTGCCGTGCTCCTGGTGTTAATGTGCCATAAAGATTTGCAATGTAAAACTTGCTTCATTGAGATCACTTAAATGGCATGGTGCTGCTAATAGTACAGCCTGGGCAACAACCCTCCTCCACTTAGCGCTGGGTGAAGCATTATCTGTTTGCAGAATGAGCTTGTGCAGCCGTGAGCACCCCATGATGCTGATCAAAGCACAATAAAGCAGTAGGACTGTGGGATGAGTTTACATTGGTGGCTGCCTTTTTATCTCAAACATTGTTCACAGCTGAGTCACCCCCTGAAAACCTGCTGCACTTGCCTACTGGTGCCAGAGAAACCAAACAAATCTCCTCCACTTAATCCACAGTTAAGATTGAGAATTTCTTCCCCTGTACAAAAAATCAAATCCCTGGGTCACTATACTGAGGAATGTAAATGTTTCTAGTCAGCAACTTCTCAGTTACAGTTTTGACACCAGACCCCAACACCTCCAATCTGATCTCCAGCATCAGCATCTGACCAGGCAAACCCTATCTGATCAAACAGCCCAACAAAACTCTTGTGTATGAGTGTTCCTGCATGGTTTACTGCTTAATCCAAGCATGCTACTACCACAGCACCTCCCTGAAGCCTCCCTGCCTGCAGCATGCCAGATTGCACACAGTGACAGTTTATGCTGCAAATCTGACTTTGAGGGTGCTATTTGTTCTAGATTGTCGCTGGCAGCAGAGCTCTTTGATGCTGCTAGAGCATAAATGGACACCACTACAGGGAGAAGCAGAAGTACCTGAACTTGAATGTCCCATTAAAGATCCCTTTTTGATTGAGGGAAGCCCTGCACAGGAGGCAAGGGAATGAGAATGGCCACCTCGCAAGTTGTTAACATTTGGGGTTGTCAGTCCAGGGATAGGGTTGGGAATGGAGGGTGGGCTCAGAAATTTCAGAGAAGCACCGAAAATAAACAGAACTGCTTATGAGTGTCCTGCCACTGTTTTTAAGAGTTTTTCATCCAGAATTACAGAGTACCATGTTGATAAATGGCACACAGATGGGTAAAGACATCAGAATAAAACAGTTTTATTCAGACAGTGATTAACAACCAGTCCTACATGTGCTATTATCCTGTGAGGAAATCCCCCATAGAAGCTGAGCAGGGAGCTGTTGAAGGAGCAGAAACAGGAGGCAAGACTGGTGGGAAATGGGGAGAGTGTATGGCAGGAGGGTGAAGAATTGGAACCTGAACTCCCATCTTCCTGGTCTTTCAATTAACTCATGTTCAGAGCAGAAATCAACTAAAGCTAGTTCCTTCCAGAAGCAATACTGTAAATAGTTATCTACACTGAGGGTGACAAAACGCTGTCGTTTGAATCTTCTGGGCACTTCTTCTCCACTCTCCCCTGTTTAGACTGCTTCTTCCACTTTGCTGTTCAGCCTTTTCTTGCCTGTGTACCCTGGGGTCAGGCACAGAGCAACTTTGGTGGGTGAGTAAGGGAGGAAATTCACTCCCCTGTGAAATTGCTCCTCCCAGCTTATTCCTCTTGGCTGCTCCGCTGTGGCAGTATCTGATCCCATGCTTGAGCCTTTCAAAATAAAATCAAACTATGTACAAGCAAGAGTTAAAAACAAAACAAAGCAAAACCAAACCACCACCAATACAGAGAAGGGAGTGTGTGGGAATGACAAAACAACCTACTTCCTTGCAAATACTGTTCTCCCTTGGCAGTGTCCCTATTCCCCTTGTCTCAGCTTTCTCCACTCAACCCCTCTGGCTGCTGCAAGTCAGTCACGCTGTTATCAATCCTATTTGAAGGTTAAGCTTCCAATGACACAGATCATCCCTGCATAATTTAGCCCACCAGTGATGAATTTTACACCTATACCATCAAGAAATAAATGTCAGCCTACTGCTCCAAAAACTGGAACAGCAGCTCAGGGCCACCGCTTCCCATCAGCAGGGGCAGCATTTGAACTGTGGCATTTGTGTACCTTTGCCCTGTCAATAGTTCCTGGAATTGACCTGACTTCTCTGACTCTCTCTCCCCCCCCATGTTCCCCTCTCCAAGGCTGGTGGCATCTCCCCTCCCCAGAGAAGGACTAAGTGGCTTCCCAACAGGGAAGGAATATTCATAGTCCCAGCTGTTCTGAACTGGACTCCTTTGGATGCCTGGAAGCTGAGGGATCTGACACACTCGTACATGCTGGGCTGCAATTGTCTATTCCAAATCCTTCCCCATCACCCCTTTGTCCTTCCCCTGCCTGATACAGCACCTGCTGTGAGCCCCATTTAGTGGATCTGTTTCAAGAATTTTCCCTGGCCCCTCCTGACACAGCCAAGATCAAGAACAAAAGAAAAGTTCATTCCCTGGGCCTCTCTATCAGCTCTTCCCCCTCCCCCCAAGCCTGTGTCCTAGACAGTTGGAGCCTTCTCAGCACTGAAACATTTACATCTTTTACAACACCCTGCCCACTCCTCACACTTCTCCAGCAGCAGAGAGGCGGTCCACTCCAGGACATGCCTTGGGGCAAGGCGAGGGTGTGCGGTGCTGTTTACAGGAGAGGCCACAGCATACCTGCTATTATGGGTACAGGACAAAGAGGAATCTCCTCTACACTACAGTGCTTTGGCTTAGTGATTTGTAGATCAATGGAAGTCAAAGGTGGCAACGGTTTGCTACTACCATGCAGCCAATTCCTGCCCTGGCAGCACAGGAGAGAGTTCCCTCTGGTGTATTAATCCAGGCTTTACCCAGCCCCATTCTCTATGTCCCAAGATGTGACTCCCTCCCAGAATCTGATTAATCTGGGTGCTCAGGAATTTAAATTCAGCCTGGATCTTCCGCAGCTTCAGCTCATTCTGTTGCTCTCAGTTAGAACCCCTTGCCTGACAACCAGGGATCCTGGTTTTCTCCGATAAAAAAAATTCCCAATTTTGGATTAAAAAAGGAATCCAAAATACACATTTTTCTGTGATTAAAATGAAACACCACTTTTATATA